AAAAATATCTTGTAGCTATATGTACAGGTAATAGTGAAAATATTTTAACAGAACTTCTAAAAACACAAATACAACCATATTCTGCTCTTAAAATTTCTGAATTCCAAAAGAAATCCAGTAAATTTTAGAATGGAGATTCTTATGACAGTCATTTTACTGTGTAATGGAAAAATCTTTAAAAATGTAAAAGTCAGAATACTTCCCTGATTATGAAAGTGTTGAATTGTTTTAGTCTTTATAGGGTGAAAATATTACATATAAATTAAACCTTATTTATTACCCTCAGAAAATTATTCCTAGTGTGTTGCATTATGGAGGAACTGCAAGCTGCAACACTAGCTCAGGAATAGGTGATATAATAAAGCTGCTGGCATATTTCACTATTGAAAACAACCTTATCAAAAATGATTTGCCAGGGAAGAAGGCTTTATTTAAAAACTAGTCATGGGTTATGTACAGTATAATTCACAGAATCACAAAAGAGTTAAAGATAGAAGGGAACAGAGCGGGTCGTCTGGTCCAACCTTCCTGCTCAAGCAGGAAGAATTGTGTCCACCAGGACCCCAGGTCCTTCTCTGGAAAGCTGCTTCCCAGCAGGTCAGCCCCCAGCCTGTACTGGTGTGTAGGGTTATTCTACCCCAGGTGCAGGACCATGCACTTGCCTTTGTTGAATTTCAGACAGTTTCAGAGTGCCCACCTCTCCAACCTGTTGAGGTCTCTCTGAAGGGGTGCACAGACCTCTAGGGTATCAGCCACTCCTCCCAGCTTTGTGTCATCAGGAAGCTTCCTGAGGCAGCTTCTGCCTCTTCATCCAAGTTATGGGTGAGTAAGTTAAGTAATACTGGCCCAGTACTGAACCAGTGTTTACAGAGCCATAGGGCTGTCTATTCTCTTATACGGATCTGAATCATGGGTCATCTACCGCCACCACCTGCGACTCCTAGAATGCTTCCATCAACGCTGTCTCCATACAATCCTAAACATCCACTGGTCAGATTATGGGACCAATACATCTGTTCTAGAGCAAGCAGCAGTCACAAGTATTGAGGCCATGTTGCTGAGAACACAGCTGCGTTGGGTAGGACATGTCTCAAGGATGAAGGACCACCGCCTCCCTAAGATCTTGCTTTATGGTGAACTTGCCTCTGGTTGCCGCAAGAGAGGAGCCCCGAAGAGAAGATACAAGGACTCCCTGAAACAACATCTCAGCCTTGGCCATATTGATCATCATAACTGGTCTACTCTGGCCTCCAATCGGGAGGTCTGGAGACACATTCTCTTTCAATGTTGCTGATGCCTTTGAAAAAGCACGCAGGATCACTCTCGAGGAGAAAAGACAACGCAGAAAGAATTGTGCCTTGCAGAATATACCTCCTAGAGAGTCTTTCTGCTGTGCCTTTTGCAACCGGACATGTCTATCTCATATTGGCCTTTTTAGCCACCGACGCTCTTGCAACAAACGTGGGTAGTGCCCTTCCCAAATCTTCGTTCACGAAGCCTGGCCATGATGATGTGAAGAAGCCCTTCTTGTCCTTGACATTGTTGGTCAGATTTAAGTCCGGATGGGCCTTGGCCTGCCTTGTCTCATTTCTACTTACTCTGACAACTCTTTATATTTGTATCAAGTGGCCCGACCACGCATCCAATTTACTGTGTGTTTCCTGCTTATGTTGGAGTAATGAGAGGCGTTCTTTATTCATCCATGCAGATCTCTCTCTTTGTCCAGTTTCTTGCTCATTGGTATGCATCATTATTATTGAGTCTGGAGGAAATGATCCTTGGATACCACCCAACTCTCTTGGACCCCTTTCCCCTTCAGGGCCTGTTCCCATGGGATTCTTCCAAGAAGATCCCTGAAGAGGCTAAAGTCAGCTCTCCTGAAAACCGTAGCTGTAATCTTACTTGCTGCCCTGCTCCCTCCTCAGCCAATACTGAACTGCACATTTTCATGGTCACCACAGCTGAGGCTGCCCCCAGCATTCACATCTTCAAAAAGGAGATGTTATTACTAATGACATAACAACAACATCTGAAAAGCATTTAGCAGTATGTATGATTGTGGAAATACAAAACACTGTTGTTTCCGATAAAATTCTCCTTTTTGCGACATTAATCTGTAAGAATCACGTTGCTAGTGTGCAAGGCGCAAGCATGACCCCCTCAAAAGGAAGGCAAGGTAAAAGGAATGATCTATTAAAAAAAATAATAAGGAAAAAAATACTCTCCAAATGTACTTGTTTTGAATTACAAGAGGCAGATGACAATGATATTTATATACAGATGATTTACAGACATCTATGAGCTTAAGTCTGCTGAATTCTAAGCATGTTGTAAATTCAGAACTTTACAATTTTGATTTCTAAAGGTAAAAACAAACAAACAAACCCCAACTTAAGGTTGAATAAAATATACTTTTGTTCTTCTTTTGGGTTTTTTTTTTTTCTGACAAAACAATGGTATTTCCTAGGTCATGGCAGTGAAAAACTCTGTATTTGACCAATTGAATGAATTATATTAAAATGGACAACTAGTATATGCATGTCTGGAGAGACCTGCCCATCTACAAAACAAAAAAAAGCAAACAAAAAATCCACAAAACCCCAAACAAACAAACAAACAAACCAACCAACCAAAAAGCAAACCAACCCAAAAAACAGTAATCAAGTTCTTTAGTGTTGAGAAACATTAATTCTTACACATATACCCTCAAAATCTGAAAACTATACACCATTTGTTCGTGTCAGGATTCTCTTTTTTAGATTTAATGACCATTCGTAGGGCACAATAAGACATTTATCAGAGGAAATCTTTAAGGATGAGTGTTTAATCAAAGAGAGTCTCCATGCCAAACAGTGACAAAGAGATCAGAAACTCATTAGTGGGTAATCACCTTTAGCAACCTTCTGCAGAATTCTGTGTTGTATAATTGCGTTAGGTAAAATTAGGAGAGATTCATTAGAATGGAATCACAAGGGTCTGTGTTAAACATAAAGTTGGATGCTTCTGGTATCAAACACAGACTCATAGAAGGAACTATTGAAAATAATTAGGTGTTTTTCTTTTTTTTTTTTTTTTTGTTAATTGAACATAGACCAAAAATATCTTAACAGCAATTTGGTGCATTAAGCCTTTAAGCCATTATGTTAAGACTGAAATCAAGAATCTGTCACATTCTTAGGTTCTGTTTCAGTAATTTGTGTTCACCACCGTTAAAGTGTGTACCTTGGGGGTTTTTATTCTTTATTCATCAAGTTTTTACCCCTTAAACTCTTCACTGCTATTGATTAGAGAATTTTCTTCTCAAAAATATGTTTGCCTTCTGTAGGAGTTTCTGCAGTAAATCAAACCATCTCTTCATTTTCTTTCACGTACACTGAAAAGTTAGAGTTCCTTCAGTCTACAGACAAAATGACGATTTTTAAATCTATCAGAATTTTTTTCCTCTTTTTCTGAATAATTCCCAATTTGTTAACTCTATTTTGCCTGAAAAAGTGACACTGTTCAGATAATGACCTCTCTAATTATGAGTAAAAAAGAATATGTTTTTCATATTCTTATGTGGTAGTCTTTTGCTTAGCCCTGTTTAACCACAGGGCTACTTTGGGAGTTTATTATTCCGCTTAAAATACACACTGTATATTTTCATGTCCCCTTGGAAAAAACAAAAAAACAAACAAACAAAATATATAAAAGATCTACTAAAAAGTATTGTATCAGAAGAAAACTGTAACATTGTGACTGTGATGACTGACTGTGAGAGGAAGCATCAGGTTCCAGTCTCTCATATTCCTCATTTATGACTGCAATTTTTTATGTCAATTCATTTCAAAATTGGCAGATCTAGAATTTGAAAAATGGTCTGCAGTGAAGCCTGTTAGACTTCTACTTTATTACAAATGTAAGTTTTTTACAAGTTAACATATTCTCATAAAATCTTTTGTATTATCATCTCCAGAAAAAAAATTTAGCTTTATGCCTCGATTGTCTATCTTCTTCATTATCAGCTAGTATTTTTCTGGGAAGTAGGAGGGGAAGATTCAGATGTTATAATTTTAATGGAAAATAGTATTATTAAAAATAAGTTTGTAATTTCTTCAAGACCATGGATAAACATATTAAATAACTCTAAGCCAAAAATAGGAAATGATAGCAGGGTATTTCCAATGATACACATTTCTTATACTACTCTTTTGTGGTAGTGGGTAACCATATTTAACTAAACTGAATTTTTCAGAATGGTAATTTCAGTTGGAATGTTTTTATAGCCTCTGCAATATTGTATCAATGTTTTTAAACAAATATAAATGTCGCATTCTGTAAAATTAACCTGAGAATCTAGAAACTGATCTTAAGCTTACCTGACATAAATGTTTCATCAAAATACTATCTTAATTGTATTTGGTTGGGTATAGTAGTGATAATGTCTCCATTTTATCAGCATGGCTGCTTTTGTTACTCTGTAAACATTATTTCTATCTAATAGTCTCAGAAAATAGGATTTACCTGTAAAACAGGATTCCCTGCTACTGCTATATTTCTAATATGAGCAATGAAAAAGGATTTGACCTATATTTGTTAGAATACAAGGGATATCCTGTATAGAAATCTTAAGATAATCAAACCTGTCTGACAATGAGGAAAGACTCTGTAGTTCAATTGTTCTGGCAGGTTCAAATTTCTATTTGTTCAATATCCAACTTACTGCTAAACAAAACGTCAGTCCCTAGGAAGTACTAATAAATCCCTAATTGACATTCTCATAGTTGTAAATATGTTGTACAGATTTATAATCTACTTATTACTATGTTTCTAGTTCTTATTACATAGCATATCTTTAAATAGATGATAAATATAATACATCATATGTGTGATCAAGAGATCAAAATATTCAAGAGGGCTTTTCTTTAATCATAGCTTTAAAGTTAATAGTTAATACAGAGATTAAAATGTTTTCATACTAATGTATATTTTCAAGAACTTTGCTGTAGGATTTCTCTTACCTCTACAGATAGGAACAGGAAAGTCCCACGATGCTGTATTCACAGAGTTAGCTATGCAAGTCAGCTGGGGGTGTCCATCCAAAATATATCCAGTTACACAGCTGTATCGGATTTTGTCACCAACATCAAATCTTGTACCGTACAAGATACCCTTTGGTGGAACTCCTGGATTGCCACAGGAACTACTCTGTAATTCTGGAGCAGATACATATTTATTACTTACAATGTTTTTGCAAATCAATGCTTCATTTTGCTTGAGAATATAAAACACATAAATTAAGACAGTTTTGGACAGAGTGTTTTCATGGATATTATACAACTCTTAACGCTGAAAATTCATACTGACTTAGTCTATTTAATATCTGCTTATTAACCCAATATGCAAAAGTAGATGAAAATGAGCATGAGGTTTTTCTTAATCTCCCTCTATAGATATATTCATATGTTTCTTTGTTAAATTGACAACAAGGAATTCATTACATAGGAACAGAAAGGAAAGGAACTTGATGTATACAAATGCAAAACAATAAACAAAACTGTACTACAGTCATGAAAGAACATCAGAATCAAATTGAACAAAACTTGCAAGAAAAAAAATAGTCAAGACAAGAGAAAATCTTAATAAGCATAAGCCTGAGCATGATCAGGAATCTGTTTAATGATTTAACAGTTTTTAGATAATGAGGCAAAAGTGACGAGATACTGTGGGTAACTGATTTCTGAACAAAAGATTAGTTCATTTAACCACGTAAAACACCACAGATCTGGTGACTTCTACTCTAATGCCGAGCTTTAAACCACTGAGAATCCATTAATTAGAGTTCGGTTTTACTAGTTGGTACTCATACACCAACTGTGTACTCTTTTGACTGATGTTTCAGCATCATAAATAGCGTGATTACCTTTTCAATCATTTCCTTCTGAAGTCCTTTGATTAATGGACATTAAAAGATAGATTTTGTGCAAGTGTGAGCAAAAGATATTTCACACTCTCATCCTGAGCTCTTCAAAGCTCTTACTAGCCTAATGCTAATATGGAAGAGACAAATCATGTAAACCTGTATTTGAATTCATATCAAATTTCCCTAATCTACAAAGGAAAATGACAGAAAGGTATGTATGTATGGTTTCAATTTCTTTTCCTGAGGTCCATGTGACTAAATTATTCTTCAGCACCCCTGATGTGCTCATGAGTGTGTGCACAACATCTTTAAATACCCAAACTGTCACAGTAGGTTTCAATTAAAGAAAAAAGGTATAAATGCTTATCAAAACAAGCAGTATGGCTCATGAGATTCATTACATTCTCAAACTCTCATGCCAAGAACTGGGATATACTACTAGATTTCTGACACCAACCATGAAACTAAACTATGTAACAAAAGGCATAATCCAACATAATCATAAATATATATCTCTATACATCCATATATACATACACTATGAATAAAATATATGATCCCAATGAGTTCATCTGCAAGATTTGAAGTACCAATCAGGTTTTGATGTGAATTGTTAAATATGCATATTAGTTGTTGATGTCATTACTGCTATTTCTGGCTTTCTCTTACATAATGAACTCTGTGGTTCTGGATTTGACTTTCATTGCCTTGCACAATGACACAACACAAAAGTAAGAATGTGGTCTCTCTCATCTTGGTCACTTTAAAGTTCACCTAAAGAGCTGATATTCTCACCACTGCTTTATCAAAGTGTTCTGTGTTGAAGCAACACTGTCCTGGCCTCAAATGTGCTTGCAAGCTCTACAAAGAAGGCAATGTTGCAGCTATTCCCGCATACTTGTGCAAATGGATTTCTTTTAAATCCTTTAACTCTTTTCAAGGCCATTCGATTTATTATTTATCATAGCGTGTCAAAATAGATGTAAGAATATCATCCTATGGATTTTGGTTATCATATGAATCATATTATATTAACTTGAAAACTCTGCTTGTATGCAGTGTTTTCATTTTCCACTTCTCCAAGAAGATGAAGTTTTTCAGAATCCCGTATCTCTTAGGGTTTAGTAAAAAGGTCACAGAAAGATGTCCTGTCCTTTGAAATAAAAAATATAAAGATTACCAACGTCTTTAACTGTTATTGCCTAAAATTGCTTCCTTTACTCTTACTGCGGTCTCACCAAGAATTACCCAGAGAAGGCAATTTATTCTTATGAAATTATATTATATTTTAAAGCACTAATTAAAAATCACCCTCCTTCTAAAATAAAACTAATTTTCCAGTTGCAATACTTTATGACTCATCTAAAAGGAATACTTGGCATTTTTGATTAACTTTTTAACATTATGAAACTGGGTAGGGAGTAAGTTACTACTTCTAACCCTTCAAGACATTTTGTTCCTGATTCTAGATAATAAAGTAGAAAATAAGTTTTACACTTTTAAGTGCATTAGTTTATTCTGTGAGTATTTTCATTTTGAACATATACAAGTGCACTACTGGGGAGGTGGGGAGGGAGGGAGGAGATAATTCACTAAGTAACTGCATTTGTCTTCTTTGATAGGCAGTATCTATTTTCAAACTGCATGTGACACTGTACTACCAACTCTGTTCCATTTAAAGCTACAAATTCTTACTCTGAGATAGTCATCTGTCAGGCAACACAGGAATTGCCAAACTAGACTGTAATTTTTATTCAGCTCTGCACAGATTCTTGACTTCAGTGAAATTCTCATAATCACTAATGATAAGAAGGCTGGAAAAGTACTTCCTTTCAAATTTGCCACATTGTAATTTGGTTGAACTTCTCCTGGTTCATGTACTCTGAACATAAATGTAATTGAATTTTTTACACTATCATACTTTTTTTCATTTTTATTCTGTATTATTTCTCATGTCTTTTTTTAAAGTAAGTTGTCCCAGTTGTTTCAATCTCTTTCCAAGTAGGAATTTTCTTTGTCCTAGATTTAATTTTGTAAACAAGATATGTATGAACCTATTTGTCCTCTTTTTTCCATAATCATAAACCACCAAGATTAGAATATCCTTCAATGCTGTTCAATAAGTTTCTATTACGTTAATGCTTATTATTGTAAATAGAAATCCTGTTAAAAAACTGTGGGTAAATATATTTCAGAGAGTTCTGTTTAGAAGGAAAGGACTAAGACTTTAGAGTCTTTAAAGGTTTTAAGTCTTTAAAGATTTTAATTAGCAGAATTTCTGCCACTTATAAATACTAACTAATAACTTATTCAAAATAAATCACATTAAATATAACTTCTGCAAATTCTTCCAAAAACAAGGTTGACAGAAGTTTAGACTCTCTTTGTCAGTATTCACTCAAGGAGAAACAAATCAGGACCAAATATACAAATTTCAAATTTACTTTCTTTTTACTCAGATTTTTTTTTTTAGTTTTTTTCTATTATGATATTTATGATATCAAGAGTAGCACTTGTCCTCCCTAAACTGTCTAAACATAAAATTTGTCATTTCATGTCTAAATATCCAAAACAACTATTTTCTAGTATTCCAGTAAAAAAAGCATTTGTCGTATCATTGCATTCTATTCAACTTAATGCTGAAGACTAATGTTCTTCACACACTAAATATGATATTAGAAATTTAGGAACATAAATAATTAATTTTGTCTTTTTTAAAGTGTTGATCCATATATTTTCAGATTTTTTTCACAGCTATTGCAAATCACTATGATCTCATTTCTTCCAACATAAAGTGAAAAATACTGTCAATACGTACATCTTCATGAGTACTCACTCATTGAAAGACCTCTGTAATATCCCAATAGAGGCTAATATTTGCTTCCTTTAGTAGTTTTGTAATTGTATATTTCTGGTATCCCTACACTCTCAGTTTGGATATCTCCTTCTATTCCCAGAGTGCTTATCTGCACACAGATATCCCTTTGAAAAGCGACACCTCTGTACTTTGTCTTATTGCCAAGCAAGAATGCTCTGGTATTGAAGACTCAAGACTGATTTCAGAAGTGCTGCATGTAGCATGTGTGTGGCAATAGGGAGGGCTATACATTCCAAGGGTCCCAAATATTAGGACAGATGATGTATTTGCAACAATATGAAGTTGCCTGAAATTCCATTGTCCAAAATTCATCTATATTGAATCTTATAATGGCTTATTTTAGTTGCACATAGTTTTCCAAAGGTTTTATAAACTAAAACAGTAACTTAGATACATAGCTTCTACCTCATAATACTTTGTTTATTTTTCTCAAAATGTATATATTTCCTACTTTCTATTCACACTGTTCTGAATATATGAGTAAGCATAGTCTAGATGTAGATCTAATAGCGACTAGAAGAAATAACTGGTGAGTATACTGTTGTCTTCCTACATACATATTGACATATACATATACACACCTTTTCCACTTGAGATTACAGAGTGAAGGAAACCACAGAAAAAAACTTGACTAGGCAATATCAGTGCAGTGAAGGAAAAAAAAATGAAAAACTTAGTATCTAAGTGTCAATTTAACTGCATGAATATGTAGCGTTCAGAGAGCAAAGAAAGACATCAGGTATTGATTTAAATAAATTTCCCTTCCCCAAAATACATGTCTCTCCTTTGCAGAAGTTCAGCAACAAAAGTGGTTATCCCTTGATTCCAACAAATCTGGCACCTCAAGATACAAGTGCAAGTCACTATGCTGAAATTCACATTTGTTTACAACAATGGCAGAAACTATTTGTCTAACAATCAAAACTTATCGGAAGTATTTGTTTTAATTTCTGCATTTTTTGTTGATCAGTCTGAAGAGACTGTCATATTGTGATGTTAAACTATAAATAGGCAAGGAAGAGGAAGTGTGAGAAGTTTGGGGTTTTTTTCCCCTAAAGGAAAACAAGGTAAAGCATGTTTTTTCTTTTCCTTTTCTTAATTGCTCTCTCTTGACAAATAGCTTTGCAATAGTTACCTCACTGAGGGTCTCTACTGTTCACTAAAGATAATACAGCTAATTACATTGCAGTTTCTTACCTATTTTTTAATGAATGACATAATTTTGGTTTTTTCTCCCTTTTGAATTTATTTGCATGGTAAAAAAAGGACAGAGGAACTTGATTATCCAAAGTGAAACCACTGATTAGTTTAAGACTGTCCTAAGGGAACTTTAAATGTAGATTTTTATACTGAATTTGATTTTGGTTCTAAGTGCATTTAAACAATCACTGGTCGTATCTCCTTTGCTAGTAACA